GATTAGGATTAAGAGAGATTATCTTATCTTATTAGATTAGGATTAAGAGAGACTTATCTTATCTTATCAGTCTTATCTTATCAAGATAGAGTTGGAGGTCTCCCTATTCAGCAAGGAGTCTCCCTAGGAGCAGGACTCTTGTAATCTCCTATTTAAGGAGCCACTATTATTGAATAAAGGCATCCACGATAGGGTCTGCATGCAAAGGGAGGGGCAAGGGGAAGCTAGAGGTTCTCCCCGTGGACCGACCCGTGACGAGATCCTACGCCCGGGCCCATAACAGGTGATCCTCTTGTTTTTTTCATGTTGGATTTTGTTGCATTAAAGCTATGGTTTCTTTAACAAACTTCTGTTTTTGAAGCTCCAGATAAACTGGAATTAGTCAAACTGATCGGTGTCCATCTTTTCCAGCATTGCAACACATTCATCTACCTAAAAGCTATTTAGTTTTTTCTAATACAACAATAATCAAGAAATCTAGAAGATAACAAAAAATGAAGGATTATTATAGTAAAAGTAAAAACAGAACAGCATGTGGAAAACAGCAACCATGACTAGGAGACATGTGTCTGTAAAAGGTCCTTGTTTGCTACAAGGACCATTGACCGACTATTCGTGAAGGGGTTATTAATAGTTAGCAAAACTAGACCAAGCCAATGGTCTAGCTGACCAATTAGTAAAACAAGGGGTGAATAGGGAACAGTGCTTTTGGGTTCAGTTCCAAGACTAAAAGATATTAAGGCTATTCTTGCTTTTTTCAGGGAGGTAGCCGAGGCTATCCATGATTTTTACATTCTTTTTTTGCTTTAAGTAATAAATTTTGATTCTGTTACTGATAAAAAAAAAAAAAATCATTGACTGAGTTGAAACTTAGCTTAAGCAGACTTGGGTTAGGTGGATAGGTCCTGAGTCCACACTTGGATTATATTGATAACAGGCTGAATTGATGTGCTTAAGTCATTATTCACTTGCCAGTATCTCGGTATATCTCTAAATGTCAATTGGCTAAATTGAAGTAGGAAATATATCGTCTAATCTGGGGTGGTTGAACCTTGGTTTGCAGTAAATTGTCATCTGTTTTGTTAATTTTTGTTTCCCTATAAAAAGATGTGGATAGATATACTAATACTGAAATGTGTTCTCAGATCTTTTCTCTATAGGGCTTTTGGACATGTTATTTCTAATACTCCACTAGTTGCTGTTATTACTGAATGTAAGAAGGTTAGTTCTGAAAAGTTTGGAACTTTTTGAGCTGTTCTTCCTGTACCCTTTCTATCTTGGGAAGTTTTTGAAGTACAGAGTTGATGGTATATATTGTTTCATTGTCACTGATTATCATTCTCTTTGCAGCTCATTCCTGTTTTATTGGATAGTTTAGCTGTATCAAGTGTGGATATTCTTGACAAAGATCTGACCTATAGCCTCTTGTTGGTCATATCTGGGATCATAATGGATGAGAATGGTGAGAGATGGTTGCATGTGTACTTGAATGCATGGTCAATTTCTGCTTTAAAGCGTATTATATTTATTAATAGTTAGTCTTACTTGCAATTTCTTTGTACAAGTTTTGACATTAAGAAAACATTTTCAGTGATTCAACATAAATGATTATTCTGACTTGTTAACTCTTAGTTGAGAATTTGAAATGTTGCATGTAATATCGTAGACAGAAAGAAAGCTGCATGTAATGATAACTCTTGTAATTATGTAGTGAGATCCTTCTAATTGAATAATATTTTATATATGTTAGTGAGCAATGCAAAGGTGTAGCCTCACGTATGCCACCCCAGTGCCCCAATGGAAGAAGTGTAAACCAGTGGACCTGTTCTTTCTTTATCTCTTCCAGGCTTCTTTTTTATCCCTTTTCTTTTGATCTTTTACATTGAAGAGTCTCAAATTTTCAATCAGCAATCATAGATCCTCTTCTAGTTCTTAGTGGTGGCATTGGTTGGGTAGTTTCCTTCTTGTCAATGTTGAATATGATGAATGATACCAATTATGTGTGTTTAATATACCTCTGAGGAGAAAGGGTGCTGTGGTGAGGAAAAAAAATTTTTCATGCTATCAGATTTTGATGCCTTCTTCGTTGTCAATTAGTGATGTCTTGACTATTGACATTTTTCTAGATGTTCTGAATCATTTCAGGACTTCTCCTCTATCAGTATCTCATGGGGCCCTCATCTTTACCTGAGTGACTGACTTCAATTCATTTCTTGAATCAGGTTGCAAAGGTGTTTCAACGCCTTTCTGTTGCACACTAGTAAATGTTACATGTGAAATATGTTCTAAAGTTGAAAAAGCAATTATATTCTTAATGTAATTTAATTTGACATAATCCTCGTGGGTTAGATAAACTTTGTTAGTGAAAGCTTCTTTGATGATTTAATAATTGCAACTCTTGTATACATTATGATTATTGTCCAATTATCTAATGGATTTTCCTTGTCTATACAGGAAGAGAAGCTGTTACAGAGAATGCACATATAATCATAAACTGCCTTGTTGGACTTCTCTCCTACCCCCACATGATGGTATCTTACATGTGTTTTAAGTTATCATGGAAAGTAACATACATTTTCTCAAGTTTTTTTTTTTCAAACTAGGTTTTGCTTTTAATACAAAAACACTGACACACATACAAAAGGTTAAAATGATCCAGGGAAACTTCCACCTGGCAAGTTGTTTTGTGCTGAAAAGAACTTGTTATCCTTGCTCCATTTTATTCATGGTATAAATTTTAGCCTAAAGCCTTACCACATGTTCAAGATATACCCTTTGGGAAATGTTTAAAACATTTTTGCAGATAGTATTACTTGATAGAACTCAGCATGATATGGCTGATGCTATGTTACATTGACACTTGAATATGGACTTCTTGTTCATGGGTACATGATATGGCTGATGCTAGTTATCCCAAGGGCTGTTGGATAGTATATTGAAATCTTGTTGGATTTTAGATTTGGAATTCTATAATTCAGGCCCCATATATCAAGCAAGTAAAATCCCATATAATTTGGGTTTTGGGATTCCAATTGTTCTGCTGAAATCCATTGCCTGAAATTCCCAGAAAAGGAATGTAGGTAGATTCTAGAATCGGGTTGGTTTTAATTATAATTATAGAAATATATGCCTTTGATTCTAACAAGAATCCAATTCGGCACATTCCAGATTCTAGAATGCTAACCAGCAGTAATTCCATTATTTATAGGTAAAGGTCCACTTTTTTGGGTCAAGCAGGGATCTTGTCTACACAACTGACTCATTTCTTCCATGTCGAGAGATGATATGGCTAATCCGGGCCATTCCCCATGTGGGTAGCCCTCTTGATTGGCTCAATCCTACAGTGCACATTAGCCTGTGGCTCACCTTTTATTAGTGTCTTGCACAAGTAATATTGGCTTTTGAAAGTTTGGAATTTTTAATATAAACATTCCTAAAGGGAAGGATTTTATCTCACCACTTGGTAAGGCTTTTTAGTTCAAATTTACCCCATTAATAGGGGAGAGTGAGAGGAGCTTGTAGGGCTATTTTGGGCTCCTAACCAATTTACCATGTTTAAGATTCCTTGGTCATTCAGCCTTCTTTACTAAATGACTCAGTGGACCTGCTCCCTTATTTATGAAGTAAGAATATTTTATTGAAGAATGAAACTGGAAAGATTAAACCTACCCAGTCCCTGAATCCTCATTTTCTAAGGCCTACTGATATGAACACCTTGCACCTTTGTTAGTCTCTGATGCCTATTCCTGCGTGCGTTTTATTAGGGATGAGGTATACCGTAGGATTCTTTAATCTGTACTCGAATGGATTAGGAAACCTTTATTTATGACTTTTCCTTTCGTTTCAATTATATTTTTTACCAGTGTGTTTTGCTTTAAGGGAAATATTTTGTTTGGATTTTCCAGCTTGTTCGGGAGACAGCAATTCAATGTCTTGTTGCCATGTCAGGGCTGCCCCATGTGAGGATTTATCCCATGAGAACACAGGTTGATTTGACTATACCACATGCAGTTATCCATGCATTTTATTTTTGCCATTTACTCGGTTCTGATTACTGATGCTTTCATTTTAGAGTGATTCTGTAGCCGACTGCGTTGATAGTTGTATAAGAGGTCAATGGCATCATTATTTGCATGTGCTACTGCTGGCTCTTGTCATTAGGATCATTAAATTGATTATTTATTTAATTATCAGTTTGATCTGGTAATGATCGTTTGTTTCGTCTTTATTCAGGTACTACGAGCTATATCAAAGGCTCTTGATGATCCAAAAAGAGTCGTTCGTCAAGAGGCTGTTAGGTGTCGTCAAGCATGGTTTGAACTTTCTTCTCCGGCTTTGTTTTGTTTTGTATTTCCCTAATTGTAAATGATATATTCATCTCCAAGATTGCTCAGCCTCATGGTATTATCTGTCATCATTCCTTGTGACTACAACAACAGGGCATCAATGGCATCAAGAAGTCTTTATTTCTAGGGGATGTGGCAAAATTGGCTAGCCTTCCTCGGTACTGTTCTTGCAGGCCGGCCAGGTTTGCTTCCTAAAAAACTATTTCACGTAAAACCTATTGTTGAATATTTCTGTAATTTTCAATTGCATGCTAATTTATATGTCAAGGAAATATATTTGCAGAATGTATCCATGAAGGGGAAAAGGAGTGAAAATAAATCCCGTCAATCCCAGATCCCAAAGGAAGCCAATGTGTGCCAAAGGGATACAAAAGAAGCCCAGGGGTGCAACTCGGGTTGGCCCGAGTTAACCTTTTATATTGTTTTGGGTTGGACTTTGGGCGAGGCCCATTCAAATTTTGACAAAATCCCAATCAAACCCACCCATGTTGCATCCATTGCCATTCAAGAGTTGGCTTGCACTTGCACATGATGGAACCTCACCGACTTTTTGAGGTTGTATATGTGCTTCCCTGATTATTAGTAAATATCAAGAACAGGCATAGGAAATGTATCTCTAGGAATTTTATTGGTAGTAATTTTACAGGTAGTAAAGGGGAAACTAATTTCTAGGAGGGGAAAATGCCATATTTCTCTTCCACTTTCCTCATTCATCTATAAATTGGATACTGCTGAAAGCGTGATCCAAGCTATGAAGAATGTTGTATGGATGACTTGAGAAGGAATTCATTATCATTTATTTTGTAGGAAGACATTTTGCTTTTTTTTTTTGTTTTCTGAGGATCCTCTTTTCACATCTGTTTGCAGCCATCAGCTTCCAACCAAGAACTGAATGAAACAACTTCAACATGTAGATATGCATAGCCATGCTAGAAAGACGATGTCTCGTTTCATCTGTACAGTATTAAATAAGGGTAAAAATATTGTTCATCTTTTTTCTCTTTCAGACCACTTCTGCCCTAGGCCAGCCTTGTAAACATCAATGACCATCCTCTAGCGTCGCTTTTGTCCATCTCCATTAGCGCCGCCGGCCACCTCATGTCATTTGATTGGTGTTGTCGGAGGTGGGTGGAGGCGGTAGCAGCAGCATTGTTGGATGGTAGTCATTGAGATTCGCAAGGCTAGGGTGGAGGTAGGTGGAGGCAGCGTTGCTAGAGGTGGGCGGAGGTGGTGGTGTTTGGCGGAGGCGAAAGTGGGCGGTGGTGCTGATGGATGGTTTGTAGGAGGAAGAAGATAAACAGTAATTTTATTTTTATTTGATATATTTTTTAAAAAAATTAATCTATTTTAAAAATATTATCTTTATTAATATTAGGGCCCAAAAATTGCCCCATAATTCCAAAAATATTTATAGAAGATTTTTTGTAGCAGATCAATAATAATCTGACACATCGTAAAACAGTCGCTTTAATTTTGAAATGTAAAAACATGCTGATGTGACATATTGCTATTGAGCTTGGATCTCCCGTCCATCGTGCCTACCTCTCCTCCCTATTCCCGTATGCCCACATCACACTACGGCTGTACATTGACAACATCTTCAATGTTTACAATTTTATATATTACCATTCTATGGGAAGATGTTATCAATGCACACAACTATAACGTTACGTGGGTAGGATTCCTGTGGGTAAGAGATCCATTATCTACTACAGAAAATTTTCTATACTAAGGGAATGGATGATGTGAATTACGGATTCGTCGGATGAGGTGGGGAGCATTTTGAAAATTTTTTTGACATCTTTCTCTGAAAATACTTTCACCCCCTTGAAAAATAATAATAAACTCTCCAATTTTTCCTGGTGATGAATTGTGAATTATTCAAAAAGAAAAACTGTGAATTATTGGGTCATCGGGGAAGTCAACTTGAACTTCGGGCATACCAACAAATGTGGAAATGCATTAAATATATGTCATGATTTATGGTTGTCACTTTTTCCTCTTCTTTGTGTTTTGCTTCCATGGAGAGAACAAGGATCGACTCTTTACCATCACTCTAATAATTTCTCGATCATCTGTGTCTCTTCTTATACTCCTAATGAACAAATCCTCCTTGATTGCGGTTCTTCCGCTCTAAAGGCAGATGGTGATGGACGGAATTGGACCGGAGATGTAGGTTCTGATTTCGCAACCTCCGCACGTTTCAATACATCAACAGTCTCCACAGCTTTAGCTTTGTATCAAGGCTCCAGCGTGCCCCTAATCCCGTACGTAACAGCTCGTATATTCCACTCACCTTTCACCTACACATTCCCTGTTGCTGCCGGTCCCAAATTAATTCGGCTCTACTTCTATCCAGTTTCCTATTCTGGTCTCGACAAAACTAAAGCTTTCTTTGACGTCTCCGCTGGTCCTTACACTCTACTACATAATTTCAGCGCCTTCTTTACAGTGGAGGCTCTCAAAACAGCTTTCTTGGTCAAAGAATTCTCTATCAATATAGAGAACCTGAGCTTATTAGAAATCATATTCACGCCAACTCCTAATACCTTTGAGACGTACGGTTTTGTGAATGGAATTGAGATTCTTTCCATGCCTGAGGATCTTTATGTAAGGGGTGAGCAAATTTCTATTCCTTTGATTGGTCAACGAACCCCATTTTATATTGCAAAGGACACCGCCCTTGAGACGGTTTACCGATTGAACATCGGCGGAAGAACTATTTCGAGTCAAGATGATACAGGCATGTATCGTACATGGTACGACGACACAGAATACATACTTGGCACTGGTAGCAGCGATTATCAGAAAGGTGTAACTTACTCTAATATGACCATCGACGTCAACTACCCACCAACACTGCCTAATTACACCGCCCCTGACACCGTCTATCGCACCGCTCGGTCGATGGGACCCCACGCACTGCAGTATAATCTCACTTGGCATTTCCTAGTCGATTTAGGATTTCAATTCCTATTTAGGCTCCATTTCCATTTCTGCGAGTTGGCGCCTGAGATAACACTGGTAAATCAGAGGGTGTTTAGCATCTTTATTGGTAATCAGACGGCCGACAACATGTTTGATGTCGTTGGCTCGAGTGGAGGAAATGGGATCCCGATGTTCAAAGATTACACCTACCTCATGACGCTTCTAAATCCAAAACAAATTGAGGGCAAGCAAGATCTTTGGCTAACCATACACCCGAACGTCGAATCAAAGCCAATGTTTTATGATGCAATCTTAAACGGGCTCGAGATCTTCAAATTGATGAAAGATACCAGAGGCAATTTCGTAGGACCAAATTTAGGGAGCGCTTCCACGCGACCTGATCACCACCACTTGAAGAAATGGATTTGGTTTATTGTCGCTGGAGGCGTTGTGGTTGGTGTTGTCGCTCTCGCTTTGTTCTCCCTCGCTCGCCGGTGCCAAAGAAGGAACAGGAAGAAGAACACTCTACCTCTTCCATCTGATATCGGCTGCCGCCGCTTCTCGTTATCTGAGATAAAAGCAGCTACGGACAACTTCAACGAGACACGGCTGATCGGCGTTGGTGGCTTCGGCAGCGTCTACAGAGGCTACATCATCGACAATGGAGTCGCCAGCACTACCGTTGCAATCAAACGTGGGAATCCAAAGTCTCAACAGGGTGCCCACGAGTTCCGAACTGAGATCGAGATGCTATCAAAGCTACGCCACGTACATCTCGTCTCCTTGATCGGGTACTGCGAGGAGCGTGGAGAGTTAATCCTGGTTTACGATTATATGGCTCAGGGCACCCTTCGTAATCACCTCTACAACACTGATAAGCCTCTAACGTGGAAGAAAAGGCTTGAGATCTGCATCGAAGCTGCACGAGGCCTAGACTACCTTCATACTGGTACGAGGCAGACGATCATCCACCGTGACGTGAAGACGACGAACATACTCCTGGATGAGAAATTGGCGGCCAAGGTTTCAGACTTCGGTCTATCTAAGGTGGGGCCCAGCAGTCTGTCCCACTCCCACACCCACGTCAGCACAGCTGTCAAGGGCAGTTTCGGGTACTTGGACCCAGAGTACTACCGACGCCAGAAATTGACGGAGAAATCTGACGTGTATTCATTTGGTGTGGTGTTATTTGAAGTAGTATGCGGCAGACCAGCGTTGGATCACAGGCTTGGGGACGAAGAGGTATCATTGGCCCACTGGGCTCCACAATGCCTACGTAATGGGACCCTTGATCAAATCATTGATCCTTATTTGAAGGGCAAGATTGAAGCTGAGTGTTTAAGCAAGTTTACAGAAATCGCAGACAAGTGCTTGGCCGATCGTGGAAGTGAACGACCGACGATGGCCAATGTGTTGTAACAACAAATTTTAAGGAAAGCTAACGGAAGGGGGTCTTTGTCTCACGGTCATAGTACAAGGGGGTTTTTGTCATAAAACAAAGTACAGGGAGGTCTTTGTCACAGACCCAGTACAGGGGGTCTTTGTCTCACAGTCATAGTACAAGGGGGTTTTTTGTCACAAAACAAAGTACATGGAGGTCTTTGTCACAGACCCAGTACAGGTGGGTCTTTGTCTCACGGTCATAGTACAAGGGGGGTTTTCGTCACAAAACAAAGTACAAGGAGGTCTTTGTCACAGACCCAGTACAGGGAGGAGGTCTTTGTCACAGACCCAGTACAGGGGGGTCTTTGTAATTTACCCTTTTATTTTAATTTTGTTTTATTTTCTTGTTTTAGATGAGCATGTGGATGTGATTGTGTTCGTAAGAATTTTTGTCGTGCAGGTTGGTTAAGAAATTAATAAAACTTTGTCATTTCAAATTATAGGGGTGAGCAAAAAAACCGAAAAATCAAATCGATTGAAAAAATCGACCGAAACTGAACCAAAAAATTGGATAATTGAACCGGTCAGTTCGGTGTTTTAAAAAACCGACAATTTCAGTTCGGTTTTGGTTAACCATTTAAGAAAGCTGGCGGTTAACCGATATATATATATATATATATATATATTTGAAAATCGAATAACAAAGTTTGGTTTTCAACCTTTCTCGAATGAACTTGTCATTGCCAGTCTGGGCTGTTTGGCAGTCTCTTAATCTGACTATGATAGTCTCTTCGAATGAAGCGCCTTTCCAGTTTCTAGTGTAAGAGAATATAAACTATTGAACTAAGAAGGACGTTTGGTGATCATTGTTCAAGACTTACTTCAAGTTTCCAATAGCTTCTCTGAGTTCTCCCGGCATCTTGAACCCCATGATCGAGAGATGCCTTCTCCGTCTGTTCCACCATGATCGAGAGATGCTGAGAGAAGGTCGGCCAAAAGGAGGAGAAACTAGACACTCTACAGTCAGCTAGAGTTGTTGTTCATCTCAACAACTGTCTCACTCTTTGTTCTCTCTCTCTTAGACTCTTTTTCTTCTTCCCCAACGGGCCAGACCTACTCTCTGTTCTCTCTCTCTCTCTCTCTCTCTCTCTCTCTCTCTCTCACACACACACACTTGACACTCACTCAGACTCACATAGTCTCTTCTCTCTCAGTAGGTTTTTTTTCCCTTTTTTTTTAATTTTTAGTGCATAAAAAAACCAAAAAACCAAATCGCAATTAACTAATTGCATCGATTCGGTTTCAGTTCGATTAAATTTAAAAACGGAACAGATCAGTTCGGTCTAGAAAATTACCCCACTGAACCATGGGTACCCCTAGTCATGTCATAGAGACTTATGTGGTTGTTGCCAACATGGGATTCTTAATCCATGTTGGACACAACATGTGTCCAACATGGATTATTTGAAAATAAAAAAAGAGTTTTTATTTTCTCTCCCATTCCCTTTGATGTTGGATACAACATGTTATCTGAAAATAAAAAAAGAGTTTACACTTTCTCTCCCGTTCCCTTTGTCTCTCCCACTCCCTCTGCTTCTTGATCTCCCTTCCACTCTCTCACTCTCACAATCATTTATCGATATCCAACTCCCTTTATCACTCCCACTCTCTTAGCTTTCGTCTACAACCTAATCAACTGTGTGTGTGTGTGTGTGTGTGTGCCAATCTCTCATTTTCCATCAATCTCTTCTATCATTCTCCCTTAGTCTTTCTCCCGCTCCTTCAATTTCATTCTCCCTTATTTCTCTTAGAAACATATATAGTATTAATCAGACTGTATGAGTTATAAGTTAGTCAAGGGACCAACAACTTGTATAATCAAGTTGGTAAAGATTTCATAGCCAAGAGTTTCTTGTGATTTTTTTTTATCAAATTGGGCTGAGGGAGTTAGAACCAGACCAAGGTGGTCTTATGTTTTTTAATATGGTCTGATTAATATTGTATGAGTGTGTAAGATAAATAAAAAATAACGAGAGAGGGAGCAGGAAAGAAACTAAGAGAGAATGATAGGGATTGAGAGAGGAGAGATCGACCAAGAGAGAAAATGAGGGAGAAGGAGAGATTAAATGAGAGAGATTGAGGAAAAGCGATTGTTTGACAAAGAAGGAAAAAACGAGAGAGATTGATTGAGAGAATGTAAAAACATTTTCTTAAATCACACAATCGTTGAGCAAGGAGAGATGATTGTGAGAGTGAGAGAGTGGGAGGAAGATCGAAAGACAGAGGAAGTAGGAGAGAAAGTGAAAACTTTTTTTTTTATTTTCAAATAATCCATACTGTATCTAGCATGGATTAAGAATCCCATATTGACAACAACCATATATATATATATATATATATAACATGTTTATTGTAATAATATTGATGAGCAAAACACAAGTAAAAGGTGGGTATCTTAGATGAATCATAAAGCATGATTGGAGGCTCATTAAAAGCTACATATATATTATTTTTTATTTCTTTATATATTTTATGTGTAGAAACTTGCTTCACCATATATTTTATGAGTAAAATGTTGTGCTGATACACGTAGGAATGTGATTACCCCATAGACCCGGATAGTTGGGACTCACATTGGGTTATGATTCTTTAATGATTACACACCTACAATCTCTATTGTCCCTCTAAACCCACACACCCACACAGTTTGAAGTTCTTTCGGCAAGGGACAATTGATAATAATTGCTTCATATTATAGAATCTCCGCATATGAGAAGATGGCAGTTTTATGGGCTTCCGATCCATTCAAAAAACAAAAGTCAAGTGAAACCATGAACCTGTTGATTGTTGATCATGTGCAAAACATAAAGCTCCAAAGCTGTGGGCATGAAAACTTATATCCTAGAGTCCCTTTAAATGGTTTCTTGATTCAGTGGCATTTTAATACAAAATACTGAATTCTATGACTAGAAGGGAGAAAAATGTAATTATAGAAGACTCCTTAAGTTTTTATTTTATTTTATTTTTGTTCTTTTACATTGATGATATTGTTCAAACTAAGGTGGATTAGAAATATATCAAGTGTCCTGATGAGCTGGATGAGCTAAGTTGGATCCGATGACCTATTCACATAGAACGTTAGAGGCTCTAAGGTGGTTCCTTGGGGAGGAGCACTTCAATATATAAGTCAATGAGCGATTTTAATAGATTGGCTAGATTGAACTAGTTAAGATGAACTGATATCTAGGGGTGAGTAAATGAATAGGTTTTACTTGGAATTGAATAGAACCGATTTTGAATTGACTCTATTCAATCTATTACATGGTAAGGTTTAGTTCCAAATTCTTGAAACGAATCCTCACCCAGACTAGTTCCCGGGTCAAGGTGTTTACCCTATCTAAACTGACCCGATGAACTGGCCTTGGAACTACACTTGACTTGAAATAAACCCTAAAATATTTTTGAAGATGTGGAGATTTGAAGTCAAACACTTATGGTTACAAAATCCATGGTCTCATTTGACCATTGAGTTACTAAGTGGTTTGATCATTTGTTTTCATTTTAATATTTAAATGTATATAATAAATAATGCAAAAGGTAATATTTACAAAATTTAAATTATAATGACAAGTTTTAAATCATATGTTAATATATATGTTATGACAATCTACAATAAAGATAATATAAGTTTTTAACTATATTATTATTAGGGTAAATTACAAAGACCCCCCCTGTACTTTATTTTGTGATAAAGACCCCCTATACTATGACCATGAGACAAAGACCCTCCATGACCGTTAAATCTAATGACGGAATGCATTAAATTACCAAAATACCCCACCAAACTTTTTCTATTTTCTTTTTTTTGCCCTTTTTCTCTTAAAACCTATTTAACCTATTGTTTTGTCTTTCTTTTCCTCTCCCTCACCGTCCTCTCTTTGGCCATGAGGAGAACTAAAGGATGGATACGACCCTTCAGTTCAACACCTCATAACTCGGAAAACTGTGCCTCCTCTATCTCTTATTTTCTCTCCTCAGAAAAATAGAGGAAGACACCGAAAGAGTGAATGACTGCGCCTCCTCTATGAGGTTGGTGTTGGTCTGGGAGTTACTAATTAGCCATAAATATGGCTATGGCCTGCCAATGTACGTATGTGCCATGATTTAACTGGATTTCTTAGGAGCTCTACTGTTAGATATCCAATGCTTAATTGTGTTCTTTTTTCCCTACTTTTTGCTTTATCTACTTTTCTTGTATATTCAATTTCCAAATATAATGTGGAAGTGTTCTTTGATGTATTTTGTCTACTAATCAACGAAACATTGTTGATAAAAAAAATTCTGTAGTATTAATTCCTCCTTAGTTCCCATCGATGGGATTGAAGACAAAACACAAGAAATCGACGCCGGCTATTTTGTTTCTTCGGTACTCCGATATGACCATGATTCCTTGACAAAACACAAGAAAGTTGTTATACGGGGAGTTGCGTTGGTCTTATGAGCCGAATATCAGGGTATGGCCCTTTTAACCAAGCGTGCTTAGGATCGGAATCTGATCTGGTGGTCGGTCAAATGGCTGAAGATGACTCCAGAACCAGTAGCCTCAATGAAGCCGGTTCCAGCTCCAAGGAATTGCATTGCAATTCAAAATAGAATTGAAGAAAACAACGAAATGATGGAAACAAGGTCCCAGAATGCAGAGGCCATATGGAAGCGAAAATCGGAGAAACAATATACCTTTCATTCTCTGTATGCGTTTTCGGATTTCTTGAGCGCAGGCTTCGCAATGCATGTGGACCTTCAAAACTACTATAATCACTTGCAGCTACATAAAACAAACACCAACTTATGTTAAGATGGAATCTTTAGAAGGTAATCAGAGAGATCTGAAGATCTTTCTCTTTACGACCATTTTATGTTAAGATGAACTAACCTCTTCTTTCTTCTCCTCTGGTATAGCGTTTTCTTTGTTCTCTTCATCCTTCTTAGGTTCTTCGGCCGGTGGTTTCGGGATCGGAGTAAGCAGCTCCACCTGCTTATGACTTTTTCTGAACTCTATCCAGCACCTTCAACGGATCTG